CCGTTCCAGGTGCAAAATTTACACACTAAAAGTGCAACCAGAACGGGCCGTTCTGGTTTCAGAACGAGCCGTTCTGGTTCAAGGTGTTTTAAAAAAAATGGCATCCAGTGACCACACAGTTAACTCCGTTTAAATAATTTGGATGGAAGTCCTAAATTGAAACTAATTAATTTATTAGGGACCAAATTGAGACTGACTAATTTATTTAGGATCAAATTGAAACCAAAAATAAAAGTGAGACTAAATTAAAACAAACAATTATTATAAGAGACAAAAATAAGTTTTTAGCCCTAAATTTTTGGGAGGAAGTATATTATTTATTAAGAAAAAAAACGGAGTTATTGTCATTGGTATATTGCCCGGAAGGTTCATAATAAAAGGCTTAGTTGTGATTTCTAATTTCTGATCCACAAACGACGATCGACGAGGGTCCAAACCTCCGCTGTAGCAGTTTCAGTTTTCCCTCGATCTTCTTCGATTCGATCCTCTGAGTCTGAGAAAATGAACGACGCAGATGTCTCCAAGCAAATCCAGCAGATGGTCCGGTTTATCCGCCAGGAAGCCGAAGAGAAAGCCAACGAGATCTCTGTCTCCGCCGAAGAAGTAACACTTCCCCTTCCGTCGATCTCTTTATTTTTCCACTCAATAATTTTATTTTTCATTTCATTTCATCGATCTGTATATAATTACTTTCACTTCATCATACTGCTACCTGTTTCTTCGTTTCCTCACGTGTTTGGATTGAATCGCCATCGAATCGATACTTTTTTTGGTTCTGAATTATACTGGTCTTTCTTTTAGGAATTCAACATCGAGAAGTTGCAATTGGTTGAAGCCGACAAAAAGAAGATCCGCCAAGAGTTTGAGCGCAAAGAGAAGCAAGTCGAAATTCGGAAGAAGATGTAACTTACTTTACACCTTCTGCATATCTTTCTTTTATCGGTTAATTAGAAAATCTCACATGACTATTTCTTCAATCCTTGTTTATGTATGGAAATGGCTGCTGCTGACGAATACTTTAATTCCCAAATTTATAGGTTCCACTTCTTGATCCTTGTGTTGTGTTTCATTGTGTTATGGAGACATAATGATTAATGATGATTATGATTACTACTAGAGCTTGACTTATAGTCAAACTTCAGTGAATCACTTTGACATACTGTTCATATAGCGCAAACTTCTCCGAGCCGCATTAGTTATTCATTTTCAAACTATTGGCAAATGTCATGTATGGTTTAACTACTTGCATTTGATGTTATTGCCAAATTATGAAAAATTATTTTATCTTGATAAGTGAGAATGAGAGTTTAGTTTTAGCGGATTGAATAGTTTGTTCTTTGAATTTTGAAAACTTTATTAGCCCCTAAATATAAGGAAATTAAAAAAAGAACGTATTTGAAAGCACAAAGTGACAATTGATATTTGAGATAATTTAAGATTCACCACATCGTTGTCTGTTGCAGTGAGTACTCTATGCAGTTGAATGCTTCTCGGATAAAAGTTCTTCAAGCTCAAGATGACGTGATTAATAACATGAAAGATGCAGCATCCAAGGATCTTTTGCGTGTGAGCCATGATCATCATGTGTACAGGCACCTTTTAAAAGACCTCATCGTTCAGGTCTGTTAAGATTTTTGCATTGTTTTTTGTCCTCCTAATTTTTCAAATTTATCTTGATTAATATTGCTCACATTTTCATTTTTGAGTATCAATCTGTATGCATGTAATTGATGTTACTTATTATTTATTAATCGTGCCTTAATTTTACATTATTTGTGGTGGTACCATTGAATGTATACCTAATATGTTCATGAGAAGATTTTGCAATTATATGGTGACACAGATGAACCATTTCCAATGTTTCAAATCATAGCTAAATTGCTCACGTGACACTTTCATAGTTTATGTTTGATGTCGTAGACTCAATCCCTACTAATCCAAATTTTTCTTCCCTTTTTTACCGGTTTTCAAGACCTTCTGAAGTCTACATGGAATATAAAGAATTAAGGATTGTATCTGTCACCCTCCTCCCCTTATAATTTTTTTTTTCTTTCAAATCTAATGTTATTTTATAAATGTATTTCTTAAGATTATTTCTTACATCTCCATTTTTTAGTAGCAACCTTCATGTAGGCAACCAATGTTATTTCTTATTTATTTATTGTGCCTTAGTTCTGTAATATTTGAGATGGTACTATTGTATATATAACTTGTAGGTTAATGAGAAATTTTGCAACTATCTGGTGACAGACATGAACCAGTGCCATTGTTTCAAATCATAACTAATTGCTCATATGGAAATGTCTGCACTGTCCTCACCATGATGTGTCACAGATTCCCTCTTGTAGGCCTTTACAAGGCATTCTTAAGTCTATCTGGATCTGGAAAATAATATAAGGATTTTACATGACAACATCCCCTTCAATAAATATATAAAAAAGTACTTTGCTGATTTGGTGTTGTTCTGTCGAATATAATGTAAGGATTGTATTTGACAGAGTTTGCTGAGGCTGAAAGAGCCATCTGTCTTATTGCGATGTCGGAAAGATGATGTGCATTTGGTAGAGCATGTGTTGGATTCAGCTGCACAAGAATATGCTGAAAAGGCAAATGTTAATCCACCGGAGATCATTGTTGACAACATCCATCTTCCACCTGCCCCCAGCCACCATGATTCCCATGATCCCTACTGGTAATTATAAAAATCCTGACAAACTGTTTACCTTCATCTACTAGCTTGTGCTTAAAAACATCATTATTAAAGTCATACGATTTGATACAAATCATCTACCTATTAATTTGTATTCTAAGATGAATATCAAATGACTTTGAATCTTACACTACATGAATAAGTTGGTGTGATTTTGTATCACTGATAAGCACACGAACAATGATTCATATTTTCCCTTCTTTTCTTTCTCCATTTTTCATGAAAGAAATTGAAAAGTCATATAAACTTAAATTGTTAAATGAAAAGGAGTTGAAGGAGCACTCTTGAACTTATCCTAATTGATTATTCCACTATTTTATTTGCCACTCACTAGTTCAGTGCATGTACTCCATTTGGCTATTTCATTGCTTCATTTCCGTTATTTGAAAATAGAGGCTTTACAAACTCGGAGATAACTAATAATTTTGTTTTATGAGATTTCTAATTAAATTGATTTTATCTATTTTTTTATTTTGGAACTGTTACATTGAATTTTTTTTTAGTTTAAGACTAAATCATCTATAATGATATATTTGAAGTTATTTTTCATCGTTGTTGAATCTTATGATTTGTTAAAAAATTATGATTCACAATTCAAATTTTAGCTTGACGATGCAGGATTTGAATCCCAATTTGATAACATTGCTTAAAAATATTCACTATGTTGGATTTTGGAGAAGGTGCTTGGTATAAAATCGACTAGCTCCGTTAGTGAGGGCCTCACATCTTGTTCTTGTGTTTACTTTACCTATATTTAAAATGGAACCACGAGTTACTAATTTCAAGGTTTGTTTAAGGAATTTCAAAACCAAAAATGCATTTTATTTCTATCATTGTTATGATATTACATATTTAATTTTATTGGATACCAGAAAAAATAAATTTGGGATTTGCACAATGGGATAAGCACCTAATCTAATAATTTGAAATAATATATAATTATTTCTTTTAACACTTAACCTTTTCTATTGTTTAAATAGAATTCAAATTTGCAAAGCTAGTTTTTAGTTTTTGTATAGTTGACTAGGGATGCATGTTGAGTTGTATTATATATCTGTTTCGGCTGCTTTGATATTGAGAATTGGGTTTCAATGTTTGATTATATTTTTCTTTCTCTGTTTAGCTCTGGAGGAGTGGTGTTGGCTTCTCGAGATGGAAAAATTGTCTGTGAAAATACCCTTGATGCTCGTTTGGATGTAGTGTTTCGTAAAAAGCTTCCAGAGGTAAATTCTTGCTATTGTTCACTAGCACTTTGCAGTATTTTTTTTGTCGTCTTGTTCATGTTACATTTTTGCTGCTTAATTGCTTGTATTATGATGAAACTAGAAAGATCGCCAAGGTCATGGTTCTTTTATATTCCTCAATGCTAAAAAAGACATTAATATTGAAATAAAATACTTCTGATGCATTATCCACATAGTGAGGAACAAGTGGAGACATCTAGTTAGACTGAGGGGACTATAAAAGGTGTTGGGAGGGACTTTAGGATTAAGATTTGTTGTTGAACAAGAAAAAGGCGACGTTCTTCAAACGAACCTATTCATACTATCAACTATTGCTCAGATGACTGCTAGCATTTGTGGTCAAGAATTTTGTTGCTAACTCTTGCATTTTATTCCTCAATATTACACACTTTTAAGTATCTGCTAGGCTAGAGATAATCCCATCTTCCCATTGTTGTCCAACTTCCTTTACCTCTTTGGTTTATCGAGTCCTTTTTATAGAAGGTCATTTGTCTTGATGTAGCTTTGTAATATTCTGTAAATATATTTGTAATTTTGTTACTTGATATTTTGATGTTCACTAGTTTCGTGTCTACATTCGTTAATAGCTGCATGTTCCCCCTTTCAAGAAAAAGAACAAAAAATAACTGCTTAACCGTTATACGGGTTCAATTCTAAAGTTTCTTGCTCCTTACTGCAGATCCGCAAGCAGCTCTTTGGACAAGTTGCTGTTTAAAGACTTCGCTCGTATTGTTTCTTTGCCCCTAAAATATTTATATTTTACTGCAGAGATTGTCTGTGACCGGAAGATGTATCGTGTCATTGAACCTGTAATCTTAGTACTACAACTATTGTCCTTTAGTAAACTTCATTTTTTGGGTGTCAATCACTTTCTCATATTGTATTTGATGGGGCATGTGATGGTCTGAAAGTTTAGTGATAAATGTTTTCGACTTAATAATAAGTATTTGCTACTGATCATTGTTGCATATAGCTTCTTTGGTAATTAAGTAGCAAATATATTGATCTTTGCTGGGACGCTGCGAAAATTCCACTGTTCTCATTATTGAACATACGATGCGAAAGTTCTGCTGCTGCATACAGCTCATTTTTTCTTTGGATCATATTTAACATTAATAAACGTTTGCTACAGCTCATGTTGCATATAGATTCTCTTTATTTCTCATCCAATTTCATCTGATCAAATAATCACAATTTTCATTAATTTTTTTTACTTGTTTCCCTTCAAATTATTTCTCACCTATTTTCTTCCTTTTCCTTCAAATCATTATCGTCTCTCAAACAAAACATTAGTCATGGGAACAGTTGTCTTATTTTGTCTCATTCATTTTCATCAACAATAACTTAAGTCTTTTGTATTTCATTGCTACTAGCATTAGAAATAGTAGTAGGCTTCTTTCCTAGACAAGATTAAAATTCAAAAAATTAAGATGGAATTGTATTTGTTATGCATAAGAATACAAAAAGATAGAAATAGTTAAAATTTATTGAAAAGTATAAAAGTATGAAAGGTTTTCATTTAATAAGAATACAAAAAAGTTAGAAATAGTCAAAATTTATTGAAAGCTAAAAAGTATGATATTTTTATTAAATTTCAATAAAAAAGGAATATGTTTAAAAATGTGTTTTTCCTACTATTTCTTTCAAGGGGTCCATTTGACTTATTAGGAATTAAGGCATTGTACATCACAAATGTAAGTATTTCATATTTGATTTATGAAAATTATGGAATAATAAAAATAAGATTAAGAATATGACAAAAATTCTTTTTTTTTTCGAAGTATAAAATATTTTAAAGACACAAATGTTTATTACTATCATCATTATTGTTATACCATTATTCTTGGAGTTGTTGCACTAACATTACTTTGTTCTTTGTTATCATCTATTGTCATTTGTACTACTTTCGTTGCTGTCATCAATTCCATCATTAATATTGTTGTTGTTGTTGTACCTACTACCACTGCCAACAATATCATTATTATTGTCATTGTCACCATTATTATTACATTAAGATGTTTAAAGTGTTTGTATTTCCCTTATATGTACCTTAATATGAATCAAACACATCCACAATTCATTGACTATGAGAACAATTAATCACTTTTTAAATAATCCTTAAATGTTATGTGATAATAAATTTTAAACTAATATATATTGGTTTTTCTTTAGGTGCATGTTATAATTAACTTCTTTCAACATATTTTTAAGCATTATCCAATAACATGTGATCACATGTACTCACACTCACCTATTAGCTCTCATAAAAAATGAAACTCATCTTTTTTTAATTTTTTTTTATGAGTACTATATTATAATTAATAAATAAAATAAATAATATTATATACAAGGAAAATATATACCTATTCATATATTAATAACATATTATATTGATTGTATTAAGTTTTTTTTTATTATTTTGATATCTTTTGCATATTTTACTTTAGTGACAAATTTTAAACATATATGGATGGATATAAAATAATATATTTAGAAAATATATGGTTTAAATTTGTTTTTTCTTCTTATAGTTTTAGATTGTGCAATTTAGTCTCCAAAAAAGTTTATTTCACTCTTTATTATACAATTTTTCAATTGAACAATGTTGGTTGAACATTAATCTACCATTATTTTTAACAAGTTATTCATGTGACTCATTAATAATGAAATGATACCAATATGTTACTATGACAATCTAACATTTGTTGACGTGACATTGACACATGTTTATAAATAAATAATGAAAAATGAAAATAAAAAGGAAAAAACAAAATAAAACGTAAAAAAAAATGAAAATAAAAACTTTGAATAAACAAAAACAAAATAAAAAAAAGAAAGAGACAACATATTTTTTATGATAATAAAAGTATTAAAAGTAGTGTGCTATTATTTGTTAATAAATTAAAATAAAATAAAATAAATAACAATTCATACAATAATTATAGCATATTAAATTTTTTCTATATTTATTATTAATAAATACAATAAATAATTTACTAAAATAGTTGTCTTTGACTCCATGATTACTCTCTTTTGTGTAACCAAACGCAAGTGCTATGATTTATAAAGAAGTAATTATATTTTTCTTTTGTTTATATATATTATTAATAATTTCTTTTGTTTATATATATTATTAATAAATATAATAAATAATTTATTAAAATAGATGTTTTTGGTTCTTTGGTTACTCTCTTCTATGTAACCAAACGAAACTGTTATGATTTATCGAGAAATAATAATATTATTTTTATATCTATTATTAATAAATATAATAAATAATTTACTAAAATAAACGCGTTTAACTCCTTGGTTACTCTCATCTATGCAAACTAAACTCGAGTGGCATGATTTATGGAAAAATAAAATTATTATTATTTCTATATCTATCATTAATTAATATAATAAATAATTTACTTAAATAGATGTGTTTGGCTCTTGATTACTCTCTTCTATGTATCCAAACGCAAGTGCTATGATTTATAGAGGAATAATATTATTATTTTTATGTCTATCATTAATAAATATAAGAAATACTAGTAATTTACTAAAATAGATGTGTTTGTGCCTTCTTACTCTCTTTTATCTAACCAAACGCAAGTGCTATGATTTATAGAAAAATGATATTAATTATTTTCTATATCTATTATTAATAAACATAATAAATAATTTATTAAAATAAATGTGTTTGATTCCTTGGTTATTCTCTTTTATATAATCAAATGTAAGTGCTATTATTTATAGAGAAATAACATTATTTTTTTTCTATACCTATTATTAATAAATATGAAAAATGATTTGTCAATAAATGTGTTTGCCAAATTTATTTTACATATGAAGTTGAGAATGTTAAATTTTCAAATTTAATTTAATATTTAAAAAATAATATTTTTTGAAAATATCATTTCTCAAAAATAGTTTTTAGATAAAATTTTTACGATATTATTTCATAAGTTAAAAATAAAATTTTAATATCATAAAAAAGTTACATTACTTTTATTTACTTATTTAAAATACTATATTCAATTCTGTTACAATTATAAAATATTTTTAAAAATATCTATAATTAATCAATCAGATTTTAATTATAGATACGAATCACGATTTTAGATTAAATGTTTCAAATTCCCATTAATTTTTATTGAAACTAAATTAAAGCAAATATAATAATTTATGTTATTATTATTATTATTATTAATTAGTGAAAAAAAAACACTCCATGTCTTATTAGTGTTGTGGGATGTAAAAATCATAAAGTGATTATGTTATAGTTTATTTTTAAAAATTAATAATTTAAATTTAAATTAACTAAATAAAATTAGTGAGTTATCATCCATTAAAAAAAGGAATTATATAATTACTATAATAAATAAAGGATAAAAACGTTTTAAAATTTGTATACACAAAAATATCTTTTATATATTGTTATAGATTGACTACGGAAAAAAATACATCTCATACCTTGCTAGTTCTATGAGATGTAGAAGTTATAAAACCATTATGTTACAACTTTTTTTGGAAAATAATAATTTTTATTTAAATTAATAAATAAAATTACTAAATTATCATTTACTTAAAAAAATGATACAATTATTATACTAAATAAAAGATAAAAATATGTTAAAATTTGTATACACAAAGATGATAAATGATATTAAAACAGTTATCGTTTTTTATATTTTATATAGTTATAGATAAATATTAAATATAATAAATGATTTGATGAAGTTAATGTGTTTGGCTTGTTGGTTACTTATCTCTCAATCTGCTTCGTGTGTGATATATATGAATGAGAATGAAATGGTTGGTGCAACTATTACAAATAATAAGAAAATAAAACTCTGAAAAGATTGAAAATGGAGGAATCCCGCACAGATGATGTTGGTAGAGAGTGTAACTTTGCGTTCGCATTTAACAACATCAATTTCTCAGACCGAATTCTGAACCTTGAGGTTATACCCGACCCATGCCCTCAATCCCATTCTCTCTCTCCCAATCGCAAGAGACGGAGACACTCTCTTACCAAAGGTACCTTAAACACCCTACGCTAATTCATTTGGTCTATGTCTATTCCTTTTGTCAATAGTTTAGAATTGGATTCTCATTAATCCTGTTTTTTGGCACATAACTTAGTGTAGTGGATTTCTTCATGTGTCTAAAATACTGAATATAAATATTTCCATGTCTTTATCTGCTGTGTGATGCGTATATGAATCTTGACCAAGGTAATTTAAACCCTAAAAAAATGAAAATAAGTGAAATCGTTAATCGGAATAGTAGGATTTTACAAAATTCATAATCCATATTGCATAAATGTCATGAATCATATTCATTAGTGATAACCCATTAGGTAATATAAAAAACTCAACACGTTACTAGGCATAAAACTTAAACACAAAAAAGCAAATACGAATACTCTAATTCTAGAATCCACACGTGGCTGTGTGGGTTTGAACTGAGTGTAAGAACCAAGAAGAGACGGTGAGTTTGAACAAACAACAGCAAAAGCCAAAAAGTGAATAAAAACTCAAACCTTTATGGCAAATAAAGGTTCGAACAGAGGACTCAGATGGAGGAAGAACAGCAATGACTCAGAACCTTAGGCGAGGGAAGAATGGAGAAAGAAGAACTGTGAAGGGGAATGAAGGAAGAAGAAGAATAGCAATTAGGGTTCACCAGTTCATAACTATAATTTACGATTTTGTATTAAAATCATGATGTGAGAAGGATTTTACCTCATCTTCAATTTGAATATTTGAAAGTGATTAAAATCATGGGATTTTATGATTTGAATCCTTATTTTAACTACCATGATCTCGACTCTAGATTTTTTAATTTTGGGAAGAAATTGATCATTCAGTTTTGCAATAGTAATACGGACTACAAAATAATAATATTGAATGGATTTTGTCCAGATAATTTAGGAACGGGAAAATTTAATGACAAGAATATGTGGCTATAGGGATATGGCCCTACTCACTCACTGATTGGAAGTTATTTGGGAGTTTGTGCTTTGGCCATTGTTAGTAATGAAACCTGTTAGCTTTGGTGGTTGGTATTTAGCAAACTAAATCTAACTACATCAAAACAACTTCAACCAGAGAGTCCATTGTGTGATTTGAAAACACTTCATCGACTACCTTTCTTGGTTATGATAATTTATGGATGCTTCCATGACAATCATGACAAAATAAATCTCTAAGAATTTAACTGATGCTTACAGCAAAAATAACTGATGCTTCCATTGTGTGCAGTAAAAATATTTTTTACATATATTCAGGCATGAATTTGACTGCGGTTTGTGATTAGTTCTTATGATTGTAGTTACATTTGTAGGTGATGAAATTTCGCACGACAGTGATGATTCATCATTGGGCATTAGTTGCTCAAACGTTCTAAGAATTAGGACCGTACATATAAGTTCTTCAATTCTTGCAGCAAAAAGTCCCTTCTTTTATAAAGTATGTTGCTGTACTATGTCATGTCTTTTGTTGTTAATTTGCTTTGTAATTCCTAAAGTTGTTTTCAAGTGCCTACATCCGATGACTCCTTGTTTTAATTGTTTTTGTAGTTGTTTTCAAATGTGACGAGAGAGTCTAAGCAACAAAATGTGACTCTTCAAATCCATGATTCTGGTAATTGCTGGATATGTAATATTTCAGTGAGAATAATACTGTGTTGCTTTTTTTTTTCTTTCAAGTGATTGATTGTATGAGCTGAAGCTCTCTTTTTTTTTGGTCTTTACCCTTTTAGTTTGTAGACTTTATAATACTTGTGCTAGTTTTTTAATGTACAAGTGTTTGCTAAAACAATTTTCCTTTTTAAATTATTATCATTGGAGCAGAAGAGGGCGCGGTTATGGACATACTTAATTTTATGTATGGTAATACTTTATCAAGAACCACGTCTGCTGCTGTATTGGATGTGCTGGTGGCCGCTGATAAATTTGAGGTAACCTCGTGCATGAAGTACTGCAGTAGGATATTGAGGCAAATGCCTATGACTTGTGAATCTGCTTTACAATTTTTGGATCTTCCTTCAAGCATTCTGACGGCAAATGCAATTCAACCACTGATAGAGACAGCAAAGTTGTTTCTTGCCACACACTACAGAGACATAACAAAGTAAGTTTGTTACTCAAAATGTTTCCTTTTATCTTGATGATCTGTTTTTACTTCAACCATGAGTTATTTAGTTATTGCAATGCTTCCTCCCCTTCCTTTTCGTTTCCTCTCTTTTTTACTTGGCTCCTACTTTATTTTATCTTGCAATCTCATAAACTTGTACTTCTTCTTCATTGAATAATCTAGGTTTGCAGATGAAGTGCTGAATTTGCCCTTGGTTGGCATTGAAGCGGTGCTATCTAGTGATAACCTCCTGATACCTTCAGAGAATTGTGTCTATAACTTTGTGCTCAAGTGGGCTAGGAGACATTATCCAAAAATTGAGGACCGACAACAAGTCCTTGGATCACGCCTTGGTGGACTCATTCGTTTTCCATACATGGGCTGCCAAAAACTGAAGAAGGTCTTGACATGCGAAGACTTCCCTCCAGACTTTGCATCAAAGGTCGTTCTTGAAGCTCTTTTCTTTAAGACAGAGACACCATATAGACAATGGTCTCTTGCTGCTCAGGATGTTGACACTACCTGCTGTCGTTTTGTGGAGCGGACTTACACGTATCGTCCTGTGAAGGTGGTTGAATTTGCATTGCCCCGTCCGCGGTGTGTTGTATACCTTGATCTAAAGAAAGAAGAATGTGTTCGTTTATTTCCTAATGCTCGAATTTACTCTCAGGAATTCTCCCTAGGAAAGCAGGGGTTTCTCTTGTCACCTCGGTGCTATGAGGACCGGCAAAACTCATCCCATTGCTTTGGACTTTTTTTAGTAATGCAATTCAAGCAATCAGTATCTCTTCATGTTGAATATGAGTTTTTTGCTAGATCAAAATTCACTTTGGAGTATTTAACCAGGTGCAAAGGAAATTATACTCTCACGGCAGGCAAGTCTGTGGGGCATAGGAACCTGTTTGGTATACCATGGACTGAATTTATAGCTGACAATAGTCATCACTTCATCAACGGATTACTTCATCTAAAAGTTGAACTTACTGTTAGGCAATGACTCCTTGTAGGATTGATGTTCTTTATTTTCTAGTTTTTGGTGACTAATGTCATATATTTTCTTGTTTAACTGCGTTAACGAGATGAAAGAGTAGGATTTAGTGTAATTATACCAATAATTGATTGTAGAATAGTTGTGTAGATATTGACTACCATGAATTTGCTTTCTCTTTTAGATCTTCAATGTTATTTTTATAACGATAGAATTTCCTTAATTCAGAAGCTAAAATTCAGAATTAGGTTTAGATTTTTTTTTAATATTTTTATTCGTGTGCAAAATGTGTCAAGAGACTTTCATAAACTTTGTTACGAAATACTTTGCTTATTATAAGTTGAAACTGCAGTCATGCAATACCGATAATTAGTTGCATAGTTATGTCTAAAATTTTCTAATTTATGTTTCTCATGAATTTTTTTTTCATGTAAAACTCTTAAATTTTACATTCAAATATAAAAGTATTTGTCATCTCGTGCTTGAATCAATTGCCACAAGATTGTTTTAGCTTTGTTAGTGATAATATTTGATGGGAGGGTTTTGTCAATTACAATGATCTAATATAATTTGAGCATCATTTTTTTACGGTAAAATATACTTGATTTGAGAAAAATAAAAAAGGTGATTTCACTAAGTTTCCTAACTATGTTTAAATTTTTTTTTATACTAATATTGTTGTAGTGTGTACACATATTTATTTGTTGGTTTTATTTATTTATAGGTTTAATATTATATGTACGTCTTTGAACTATCTAAATTTTCTTAGTTAAGTCTTTAGATTCAAAAAATTACAATTGATTTTTTTTTACAATTTTTATAATTGAGTCCTTAGAGTTAATTTATGAAGGCTTAAAATTATATATATATAAAATATAATTAGAGATATTTTATCCTAATCACCAAAATTATAAAAGAATAATTATTTATTTATAATTTTTTAATTTAGAAACCTAATTAAAAATTCTTGAATAGTTTAGAAATTAATTGATATATTAAATTTTATTTATATATAAATATAAATACTGGTTGTCTCTTAAATTTGTACGAATGATGATTAGGTTAATGAGTATTCTTTTTTGTCAATTTTTAAAATATAGGAAAATTAATATGATATAAAAATAAAATAAAGTTTCAAAATAAAATATTCACATTCTAAAAAAAATATAACATAATATAAAATATCTTAATTTCAAATTTAGTTCAATATTTCATACATAAGCCAATTATATTTTATTGATTAAATTTTCTTTTAAAGATTTTTTTAAAATTAATGCATAATAATTAAAATGAAATCTATAAATTAAAAAATATTAAATTTATATACAAAAAAATTAATAATAAAAAATTCAAAGAATTAGGTTGTAACGGCCCATTAAGATCCTTGCACTGAACAGAATCAACTACTAGTAATAAAAAAATAACTAAAATACTTAGGATTTATGAGTGTAAAATAATCCATCACTATGAAAGAAAATCCTAAGTTTTCAATGGAACAACTCTACAACATCTATACAAAAGTAGCCTCCAACTAGACTGTCATTCAACATGAACCGCAAAATTGCCAATTCTTCAAACCTATCCCTATCCTACTCTCATGTAAACATCATCTTCGCAATCTAACCACTAGGAGACATGTAAGAGTAAGGTAGTATACAAGGAATAAGCAAAGTATAAAAGAATTAACTAGTTATACTACAACTTAACTACATAATGCAACATGTTCTCAACTTACAACGTAATCATACATTCACCATTATCTCAAAATGGCACATAAGAAACACAAAAAAATCTTCAACTTTTCCACAACGCAAAAATAATGCATGCTCAATGTTATAACTAACTTGATATAGATGACATAATACAACTAGAGCAACTCAACTTAAAAGCAACACAAACATAACCTCTCAGCCTGACATTCCACAACTTCTGAAAGATAAATAATTTAATCATGACATCACATAATTGAATTCATAGTATCTCAACTTAAAAAAAAAACAATGTATCGTAACAATATAGATTAACATACCAAGTATTGAAAAAAAAATACAACTATACTACTAACACCGATATGAAAACCATACAAAAAACACTTCATGGTCCACAACATATCAACACAACAAACACCTCCACGTGACATTCAACAAGAGTAAACAACTTAACAACATATGATACATTATATTTCACCACATCAATGCTATTCAACAATCAACCAGCAAAGCATATGAACACACCAAAACAACACATCATATTCTTATACCTCAACTAATGTGTTGTCATGCATTCCAATACTAATATGAGTAAAACTGTCAAAACGAGTTACCTAACCTAGCTCGGTCCACCACAAGTTGACTAATAGGTAAGTTAATTCAACTGACTCACTTTTTAATGACCTAACAAAAAATGAGTTCGGCTAAACCTACCACAAGTTAATGGGTTAAATGGGTTAGCTGACTTAATTTTAAAAAATAATAATAATTTTTTTCCTAATTTCCAACCAACCGTAATTTTTTTAAATATCTATTTTTTTTTTAAAAAAAACCTGTTTGTGGTGAGGAAGGAGGCAATCACATGGGGGTGGTGCACAATGATTATAAGGAAGGAGTTGACAGGTTGTGCATGAAACGGTGGCAGTGGCAGTTACGCGGTGGGTGGTGGCGATCGTGTGTTGGCTGTCGCGCGATGGCAGTGTGGTGCGAAAGGGGTTGTGCATGTGGGAACGTGATTGTCGCACAGTTGTAGTCCCAAACTGAAGTGAAGAGGCAAGTCACGAAGAGCACCGCAAAAGTAAAGAGAACCCTAATGCAGTAATGCTTAACCCACTAACACTAAGTGTGTGAAGCAACTCTCCCTGGCTCCCTTCCTTGTGTGAGTGGGTTGTGACATTCATGGGCTTAAAATTTTTAAAAAAAAATTTTGTGACTAAGTGGGTTGTGGCCTTTGGGTGTTTAGCTTTTTTTTTTTTTTGTTATGTGAGTCAGTTCATGTTCCAACCTAACTCATTGCAAGTTGATCAACCCGAGTGAGTCAAATTCTTAGTGGGTCAGATTACATTTTTAAAAATATTAAAATTTGTATGCTTTTTTGAGCCCAATCTAGCTTGAATCTGTGGTGGACCATGTTAGCTCACGCGTTGTGACTTATTTTGATGGTTCTAAAGTTGAGCAATCGAAGTTACTTAATTCTAGTGAACTAACATGATCTTTTTCATACCTTCTATATCAACAACTAAGTTTGGATACCAAACCATAGTTACATTGATTTCTCAAATAACACTACTTAAATTAAGAAAATTCAGTACTACCGTTAGGTATAACATAGCTTGGGTATAAACTTATCACAACATTAACATGCATTAACTAAGTCTCCTATGGAGTACAACCCAACTAACTATCCTCATGATGTCACAGACCTCAACATCAACTAAGGGTTGTAATTTTCGATTTCAGAGTTTACTCTAACATCAACTAAGAATTTAAAGAAGACTCAAGAATTCACTTCAAGAGATAAAGCTTACTTAAGAAGGATTTTTAACAACTAAGCTCGTGGAACACTACATCAATATGCACACAATGAAGATAATTGAAGGATAACGCTTCTGTTCATTTTTTAAATGATTCTTTTTTCTTCTCACTTCATTTATATTTTAAACATAATATTAAGGAGAAAACTTTTTATAATAGACTTAATTTTCTTAATTGAATTAAATTATTTTTTCATCCAATTTCACTTTAAACATGGCAGAGATAAACGGATTTTATTAAACAAAATTAAAATTATTCTAAAATATATTTTCCTACAAGAATTGAATATTCCCCTCAATTTTTCAGTTTTTATAGAGTTACATGGCAGACATAGAAAGGCTATAATTGGTCTTGTCAAACTAGGTTTATACCCTTTCAAAGTATTGTCTTTCAGAGGGTAAACCCTAACCCTAGGGCGAATGAAGATTGATTTGCTTTTTCATTGGAATCTCCAGCGCGTTTCATCTGTCTTGTCATTCATTTTTCTTTAATCAATAAACTGGAAATATATATCCCCGAGTACATACGGAAGAATGTATGCTTTCCACTCCAGTTAAAAGCAAAATTAATTATCGTCATGAAAAATAAAAGTTGGTCACCAAGAAAATGCATACGTAATTAAGTAGCAGTAACACTCACTAAATTTGGCTATATATATATATATTTCTTCTCTAAATTAAAATTAAGAAAATAATAAGCCTCCAGTAGCTTGAAAATAAAGCACACATGTTTTGTTAATCTATTTTTTTTGTTACCTTTAATTGATCTAATTAATATAATGAAAGCTCAAGCAAGCTAAATTGAATTTCACTTGTATATAAAATTAAGAAACATGGCATCCAATTCCAGTTCACTGATAATGTATTCCATTCTTTTCCTTTTTCGCTGTGCACTTCCCATATTTTATTTCTTTTTGTTTTATATATATATTCAAGTCGGGACATGTACTCTCATATGGTGCACAAAACTAATTGGTGGTTAGTTCGGACAAGGAGAATATGAATAACTTCCTTTCCATTGAAAAAGAGAGAAGAAAAAAAAGTTGTTTTGCGAACTAATTCATATTTTGTGTTTAAGTTTTTTTTTTTTTAAAAAGAAGAAGAAGAAATAGTTTATTTAATTTTATCAACAAAAAAAATTCTAAAACTGAATGATAATACACGCACTTTAACACGAGTGCTTCTAGCAGTCCCTCCTGTTGTGAGCTTATAAAAAGGCCTTTGTTCCCTCAGTGCTTCTGTGAGCAGCTTGCTCGACAATAAGATTAAGGTTCCCATGTGATGGTCTCGTTCCTTGTCTTCAAGTGCATTATTGTTTTTTTTTTTTTTAAATTAAGGATATCCTTCGATACAAAGTTAGAGACAACTCTTTCAGGTACTCTCAGTCGCTTTTAATATATGCTCTTTCATATATACAAATTTAGCAATTGACTACATGCATCTTTAAAGAATATATATAGTTAACTATTTCTAGATCATGTTGATTTTTCAAGTGAATTATTATGAAAGAACTTAATTATATTTTCATTCTTAGAGTGACTTTAACTGTTATCAAGGTGTACATGACGGGTGAATATGAAGCAAATCTTTGTCTGGATCTCATTAGGTGACGAAAACCAGTTTAGATGCATGATGAGGTAAGAGAGCTTTCTTCAGTCCACTCATAGGTGGTACCTGTACGGTTCAATTAGCTGCCGACTCATTCATCCAAATGCTGAGTGAAGATAGATACTTAGTAAATGAGTGAATGATGCGGGAGACAAATTGAATCTTAAGCTTCCTGTACTTGGACTGAAGGGAGCTCCCTTTTTCTTCTTTTATTCATTTCTTTGTTTTGTTTTTTGTGTGGTTTAGATTATTAGATTTGAACATCCGGTGGTGGTGGTGTTAATCAGTTATCTCTAGATCTGTATATTTCTTTTGAATCATTAATTTATTCACAAAGGTAATATGTAGTTGCTAAACTTTGGAGTAAAGTTGACACGGAAAGGGTATATTAATTACCAGAAGTGTACTTCAGCTTTTAAATTTAAGAGGAATGATATATTTAGATATCTTATTTTATAAACACCGTATCAGTATCTTTTTGTTTCTCTTTATTTCTTTTCTATTGCATTAATTATATTTCCTACCATGTTTAAAGTATTATTAAGTTCCTTACCAGAGATCCCGATAGTTAACAGGCACCTGGTTAAGTTCCTGACGAGGGCTTGGACAAGATACTGTTTCATTTATAATTGTTTAAATAAGATAACGTTTTCATGGATTGATTTACCATGTCTATATATACATGTAGTTGTTTTGCCATATATTTGATAAGTGTTCAAATGAATCTTTTACTTGAAAGATGAGATCTTGGAATTGTCTTAGCTTAGGGAGAAGTTTGTTGCACGTAACTCCGACACAAATCAACTGCATGTGAAAGAATGTCAAAGAAATATCACACTTCATTTTTTGGTTGGAACTTGGAAGACAGGGAGTACCACAGTGGAACAGGAAATAGGGATAATTGAAGGAGGGAAAGCACTTTTTCTTTTCGTTAATTTATTAATATTTATATGTAATTCTAATTTACCAAGGGCTAAGTGTTAAACATTTATATATAGTTTGTGGAGACTTTTTACATTCTTTGATTTTTGAGTAAATGCAAAAAAAATAGTACAAATACTTCACATACCAGCTAGCTTCACTTGAAATTTTTTTTGGTGGATACTTGATATAGAAAGTAACCAAGTTATTCATTTTTTTTTATATGAATTCATAATTAAATAAAATGCTGTAAAAAAATTAATTAACATAAAAATTTGACAATCCATGATCAGCACAAAGTACCATGTATATATATATATATATATATATATATACACTGATTAAAACTATTAAGCTCAAGCTCAAACAAAAACACGAGACAGCACGCAACTTCACTTTATAACTACACTAACTAAAATATAGGCAGTGGTTTTCTCGTTAATATTTGTTTATATTTATAAATTAAAAAATGCATTATTTTTGTGTTAATGTAAGTGTCACTAAAGAAAATATCTACCATTATGACTGATTTTTTTTAAAGAAAAAACTCAATGTATGAAAACATTATTTTTATTTAAACAAAAAAGAAAATTAATCAACAAATTAGTCTATTAATTTTCTATACCACTTTAATTTTCTAAAAATTTATCACTAAACTAAATTTAATTTGTCACCATGCAACCATGTTATATTACTTTGATTTTAATAAGGACTTACAAAATTTGATAATACTTTTTAAATGATATTGACACTCAAAATTTGTGAATTCTACTACAAAATGAGGAGAGAAACTCATAATATACGGAACTCATTTGTGATTTCTAATAAACTTAAACTAATAATAAAGAAAGTGTTAGAGATAGTGACACTAATATTTTACTAATTTAATTTTTTAGAGATTAGTTTAACAACTAAATTTTATAAAAAAATTATTTCATCTATATTACATTTATCTTCTATTTTACTAAAGAGAGTGTTATTTAAACTGGTAGGACTATTATATATAACAAAACTTTTCATTCAAGTATTTAAAATAATTATGTACCTAATATTCAAATTCAAGATCACTAATTAAGATAAAACAATCTTGTGTCCATTATACTTAGGATCGGATAAATCTTGTGTCCGTTATACTTGGGATCGGATAAATTTTATAAAGGTTAACGTGATGATACATAGTTTTAGAAAAAGAAATTAATGGTTTTCTCTTCTTTTTTTTTTTTTTTTCTTAATTAAGAGCAGTGATTGGGAGTTCGACAGTGACACTACATACGGTGTTCTTGTCTTAATCTTGAACGAGGCAATAGTAGTCATTCCCACTTGTACAGAATCTAACATCACTTTATCCATGCTATCATTATATTGATCATTGCTCTATCTTTAACAAACACAAGAACTAAAGTTGTTTGTCATTGGCAATTAGTTACTATTTCAGACTAAATAAAAGCAATTTAAGAAAAATCAAATACCCGAATTTCATCTCGCCAAGTTTAATATACACATTATACACACTACATAGTGTTTGAGATTTGACAATGGAATTTTGCATTGCGAATACACTTAATTTAGGTAAAGTTTGATTTCCCTTTATTCTCCGGGGCCTAGATGTTTCCAACCGATCTGGAAAAGTATCAAGAGTTAGTGAAGTGGATTTGTTTGTTATTATCATAAAAGTCTCGTCCATTATCATCATCATAAGATATGGAAATTAATAAATTAATAATCGATCATAGTCCACTTGCGAATCTGTGTAGATCGTCCTATAATATGCAAATATTACGTTAGCTAGTCAATTCAAGAGTGGCTCTAGTTGTTTTTCCCTCTAAGAGCTAGAGAATTGAGGAAGTGAAGTTGCATGTTTGTAAAACCTAGTGCTACAAGGAGTTTATTATCTGAATTGATGCGACAATAATAACATTATCATTATCAATATATGTTCTTTTATTTACTAGTGGAGAACATATATGGAAACGATTGATACTATTATATGAGATTTCTTTATTTGGTATTTAATTTATAAACTTCCGTGACTGGCATTGGTTATCTAGCAAATCAATCAAGATGCTTCCATCAAGGCATGATCCGTGTTCAACTACGTTTTATTTTATTTTATTTTATAAAAAAAAGAAAATTAGTATTTTGTTTAATTCGATCGGATTTAATATTTGGGATATTGTTCGGTCCTTCTTTGGTCAAGTTTTTATTTGATAAAGAGGAAGAAATAAGAGAAAGAACAAAGCTTCGTGGACGAGGGTATGAAACGTGATCAAACCTCAACCCCACAAATCATCAATGGACTGTTAAGTGGAGACAGCCAGAGAGGATAGGAAGAAAATATAAATTTCCCTATTAATATTATTAATTATTAAAGGAGGTCTAGACAAAAGTTAGTGAAGATCAGAAGAATGGTTTTTCTCCGCTAATTATTTCTCTATTTTTCTAACTTTTGAACTAAACAATAATTTTTTATCAAAAACCCTTCACTTCCCTTACATATGCATGATGAAATTGCACAATCACATATACAGTGCGTTCTGGATAAAACTGTCATTTCTTACTGAAAGCAAATTTAACTGCAAGATCATGTAGCTTCTGTTTATGTACAATTATTTCTGATTTCTTCCATTTATATATATTTTATTCCAAATGGAACAAACATTTTGAATGTGGATACTACAGAGTGCATATGACTGCTAAAACGTTGTAACTGTTGCAGGGCACAAAGAGAGAATGCAAAAACGTTGCCCTAGTCCTCCACACGTAAGCTTAATATTCACATCTCTCGTTCCGAATGCAGTGGCTTTTACTTTAGGTGGCTATTTAATCAAAGTAATTAAGAACAACTTTATTTGTAGTTGCGTATTCAATTTTATAATGGAGCGACAGAGAGAGAAATATAAATTTATGCAATAGGTGCACGTTGCTTTAGCAAAATTTAGCATCTCTAAGAAAACGAACAACTATACCACCACTATCCTTGACATGTGGATTTTTTTTTTCTTAGGTTATACATATGCTGTAACCGGTAAAAGTTCCTCACTCAGAGAAAATCTTATATTAGATGACAAGATTTTGATTCATTCATAGATATGTATAAGCCAAAGTAGTACTGCCAAGCAATAAGATATTTAAGGGCAGTCGTGTTCCGATTGACATAAAGGGTTCAATTGTTTTAAAATAATTTTAAACTAATAAATTTTGAACCATTAAATGTTATTGATGTGGGTCTATAACTACATATTTTACATCACATCATGTGTCACGAAGTGAAAAATTAATGTTGACCTAAACCCATCGGGGCTATTATATTCACTTGATATGTAGCTAAGAACTCGGTCGAATGCAAAAATGTTAACTTGTCCAATACCTGCTTTATTCCCTCTAAATTTTTTATTCCCATACGTAGCACAGGACATTGACCGAATTAGAAACCATGATGTCTAATATGAATTAGGGTATAGACCACTTGTTTTAGCTTGGAAAATTTAAAAAAAAAAAAAAACATTGTTTAATGGATATTGAACAATTTTCTAAACACACACTTAGTTTGATTTATTGTTAAAATCTACCAAACATCCATTTAACAAAGAAGTAACAAATTGTTACTTTCCATTTTGATGCATTGAAAATAAAGAATATTTATTTGTTCATAAATAAATAATTTTTCAAACATGCATTAAATTATGTGTTATAAATTTAGACTTATTTTGTTCTAATATTATTTCGACTTATTAAAATTTTGGATTAAATAGATTTCAAATAGATCATGCATATTTGAACTAAAATATGGTTAAAAATAATCTTTAGACCTTTTAATAATCTTTTGACCTTTTAATATAGTTAGAAATTTTGGATTAAACATGTCTTGAGTGGATCATGTCGAGTTTCAACTATTCAAACTTAAATATAGTTAATAATAATCGTTGAAACTTTTAACTTTTTATATAATTCTAAAAATTTCAAAATAAAAATATATCATAATTATGTAATTTAATAAGTTTTGATTCAAAATGTCAAAGGACTAAACACCCACTTTTTAATTTTCAATTCTTATGATTCAAAGGCCATATTAAAATTATATTTTAATTATAAACCAAAAATCTTACATTAACTATTTAATTTATAGCATTTCATTTTATTATAACATCTTTTGATTTTATATAATACCATTGTTATATAGAATATATATATATATATAT